GATGAACTCTCTTCCTAAGGGGCTAGAGGAGACTGTGGCAGGGAGCATGTTGAACATCATCCAGGCAGGGCCACTTGAAATACCTAAATGGGGGGGGGGGGTGAAGTTTGAGAAAGTCAGTGAAACTTTTCATTGGGGCCTAAAAACTATTAAAGTAGGGCTCCTTGAGGAATGCATTAACTGCAAATTGCTAAATGAATTCAGAAGAGCCCTGTTGAAGGACTAATTCAGTATCCTGTTCTCACAGTGGCCAACCAGATGTCTGTGGCAAACCCCAAAGCAGGAATTGGGTGTGATACTCCAATCCTGATTGCAAAACCCCAGTAAATGGCATTTAGAGGCAAAATGCAAGAAAAAGGCAGCATGCATTGCACTTCAGTTGCAAAACCAGGAGGTTCACATCATGCTGTGAGCTCAGCTTTTGCATAACAGTCTTCACCAAGTTGACTTGCGGCAGAACTCTGGACCAAAGGATGCTTGCTCTGGCACAAGTCAGGTGGCTCGAGCCAGAGCGCTTGGGACAAAAAAGAGAGAGCATCCCAGTTTTGGTCCCCAAGGTTTTGGAGGGTATGACACTGCATGGGAAGTGAAAGGGAGCTTCATGAAGTGGGAAGAGTTGCAAGGATGTTTGATGTCAGCACGGTAAATAAAGTCATTGGTAAACAGGTCAGGGAATCCAATCTCATTCACAAAGGAGAAGATTTGGGAAAGGGGGAGGCAGAAGAAAGCACAGCAAGTGTACAGCCTTGTTCATTCTCTGGATTAGAGCCAATAGTATTGAACAGACTCCAGAGTTTTGCTGATTTGTGCTGCGTTGATGTGGAAAGATTCCTATATGTTTACAGCCAGGATTTTGGGGGTTTGCTGCCAGCTTTGGGAGAAACGAAAGGATCTTGCTTGTATTCACAAGGGGCAGAGGTGTTAAGACTTTTGTCTAGTTACCCTCCCTCTTTGACACCCTACAAGGAGACCAATGAGCATCAGTTATGCAACAGAGTACTCACCCCATAGTAAACAGAACCTGGTCCAGAGATTGATCATCCCCATGCTTGACAACGCACTAACAGAGGCTGCAAAATAGATTTTGTGATTAGATTGGAACACTTGGTCCTTCCAAGACAATAGCCACCCACCCAACATTTGCCAGATGAAAATAGCTGGAGGTTTTCGCAACACAAGTTGTCAGCCCAAACTGTGTTTGAGAGCAAGTGAGTCAAGTTCAACTGGGGTCTGCGTGATGCCGAAGCTGCAGCTTTTCATATACTGGTGAGTAAATCCCAGCAAGAATAATGGGCTTTCCCCACACAGGTATGCGGATACTTCCCTGAAATCTGGAGAGAGACATTGGCCCACTGCATCGATTCCTTACCCTGCTCCTAGCAGTTAGATCTATTTATAATAGTGCCAGCTGGCCAGGGGCAGATAATAATTAATGCCCTGGCTTCCTCCTGTGGTTTGATCTGCAGAAACCAGCAAGTGTAGATTTCTATCTAGATATGTCTGCAGATGTAGATGCCGCTCATAATGAGATTCATCGGCTATAACAGCAGGGCCAAGATTTTGGTGGATGCAAGCAATTTTATTCTCAAAGTGCTTCACAAACAAGTCACAAGTTTTGTTTGTTTGTTTGGCACATTGCAAATCTACAGAACTTACATTACACATAGTCTCACTCCAAAGAGCCTCTTCTCTTCTCTTTTAGTTAGCACATTTTAATAATTTTGTACATAGTCATGGCTACTAGCCATAATGGCCATGTTCCACTGCCACTATAAGAGGCAGCCTGTCTCTGAATATCATCTAGTGGCAGCTGCAGGTGGGCAGAGCACTGTTGGGTTCAGGTCCTGTTTGCAGGTTTCCCACAGGCATCTGGCTGGCCACTGTGAAAACAGAATGCTGAACTTGATGGGACATTGGCCTGATACAGCAGGCTCCTCTTATGTTCTTACACATGCTTCAAGGGGGGGGGGTGTCATACCAGTGGTGGACATTGGGGCCTCAAATTTCATTGGCACCCTGTGTGACGCAAAATTAGCCCCCCACCCTGACTTTTAAGGTTCCACTCTAAATCACAATTGCATCGTCCTCTGCGGCACCTCCAAGATTCTGTGCTGTAGCTCAGTAGCAGAACATTAGTGTTTCATTCATAAAGTTCCAGGTTCAAATCCTAGAATCTTCAGGTAAGGACTGGAGAGACCCTTGTCTGAAACCCTGGAGAGACATACCGCTATTCAGCGTAGACAGCCCTGAACTAGATGGATCAATGTCTGACTCAGTATAAGGTAGCTTCCTATGTTCCTAGGTGTTTTCAAGTATGGCCACTACTGAAAGCAGGATTCTGAATTAAATGGACCCTACTGGTTTGATGAAGCAGGTCTTCTCTGGGCTGCAACTCAGAGCACTGTCCTAGTCTGCAACATACATCTGCAAAACACCCTCCTCCTTCAGTTTTGTTAGGCTGGCGGGGAGATAGTAACCCAGAATTACAAGAAGTATTGTGACCTTGCCCTCTTATGTCAAAACAGAACATAGGCATGGTTCAGAATTAAATGGACTGTCTTGCAGGAGTGGGGAAATTGTGGTCCTCCAGATACTCTTGGACTACAGCACCTCTCTTACATTTTTTTTAAATCAGTTTCCAATTCCGGTCCAATAGTAGCCTCATTATAACAATATCAATTTATAATGCAATTATTAATATCAATCATTCAAATACTAAATTATGTAATTTAGATAAAGTGCCCCCCCCCGGATGCTAGATTTGATGGCTTGATTATTTTCTTTATTTCTATGTTACAAAATCTTATTAATTTCAATTGCATTCCGGTCATAATAAGAAGCCCTTATACAACAACCGCAATATTAATAACTTCTATTTGACACATTAAATGATTTCTGAAACTACAAGGGAGGAACTCAGACTGTATCCTTGTTCTTCCTGTATGTGGCTGTCTACATGAGTCAAGGAGAAGAGTGTGACCAGGGGTGGTGAGGGAGACAGGAGGCTGAACGCGGGGAACCCCCCCCCCCACAAAGCAGGGAAGGATTTGGTGTCATGAGAGAGAGAGTGTATTCCCAACACACACCCCCAACCTGTCCTTTATTTTGCCCTACCAAAGGTGGCAACCCTAGTGGCCTGCTATCAAATCTGCTGTTTCTATATGGGAATGGGAATTTCCCCTCTCACCAGATTTAAGAACAGTTTTTGCTGGAGTTATTCATATGGAGTTATTCATAAAGGAAACCCACTCTTTCTTACCTTCAGTTTGCTTGTGTTTCTGATGCACTTGAATTGAGAACAGAGGGAGTTGCTGCTGCTGGATCCCTTCCTCTGTTTTCTCCCTCTTCCATAGTTTCCCTTTATATAGGGAACAAATGCCAGTTCCGGGAACTCCCCAATGGGACTTGAGGGTTGATGGATTCTTTTTTTTTACCAGAATAGATTTAAATTAAAATGGGCTGTGAAGATAACAACCAACTTGGGACCTGAGATTCCTGGACCAGCCCTTTTCCCGATGAGACTGCAGCAGTCATGTCTTTGGTTGTGAAATGTTTTGGCCATGGGAAAGCCACTGGTGATTAATAGGAAGAAATGATAACATATTCTGGCATCCCCCAAACCAACCTGCTCACAATTGACCGTGTCTAAGCCAATGACAGAAGATAAATTATTTATTGGGTGTCAGGGCAGTGACATAGTTAGCAAATCTGGTGCAATGAGCAAGACCCCAAAGGGTTACCAGAAACCGCAGGACATAGGTCTGAAGTCTGAACATCCCACTCCAAACCAGCAGATTCCAGTGAGCTGGTTGCCAAGTTAAACAAACAAATGGGGAAGCCAAATTTCATGTGTTTGTGTAAAAGGAGGTTCGGGATCGCCCTGGACTGTGCCCAGATTAGGAGTCTGAGGCCTGCGTGGACCATTAGAGCCTGGAAAGCCAACATTCGCTCATCATTGTTTGCAAGAAGGGGAGTGGAAGCAGATGGTGCCCTGAGGGAACAGGATAGCTGGCAAATAATGGTCTCCTTTTATCGTAACAAAACAAGTTGTAAGGAAATTAAAGGAAACTATGAGCACAGGGGAAGAAATGGATGAAGGTGACGAAGGGTATTCGGGGGATTTACAGATGGATCCTCTGTTTTATTAATACACAAACATTTTGATATAGCAATATATATTGTATGTCTCTGCATATGTGCTGGTTACTTTGGGAAAGCCAGAGTGCATATACCTATATGTATATTTTTATGCTGCTTTTTTATATTCTTTATTGCTTTATGCAATAAAGCATTGTTTGGTGGGGCCCACCTCTCTTGCTAACTTTACACTGTTCTCTTCCATTTGGAACAGCTTTACTCATTTAATAATTGCAATGGTTCTATCTATTTTTACAGCTCTATATTCTATTTTTGTAACCCAACCCAGGACCTTATGGTGGACGCTGGCAAAGAAATCTTATAAACAAGCGAACAATATGTTTACAAGTTTTTTTGTCAGGGAAGTAGTATGCAAATCTCATCAAATAACAAGGAATTTATTGATTGATTTGTTTTTGTTTTTTTTTGTTTTTTTGCTTATAACAATGTTTCTGCACAACCAACTCACGCACACAAAAATGACGGTGGCATGCAATAAAGCAATCAGAACACCATACATTTATAGAATCATAAAATTCGCAACAAATGTTCAGCTCTGAATCCTAGATCAACAGAGCTAAGATAATGACCAAAGAGAATTGCACATTTCATAGCCTAGGGTGCATAGTGAGGGCCCCCGGCTGCTGAGCAAGTTGGGGTGCTTACAGGTTGACAGCCCCGGACCCCACTGACCACAGTACATTGTTCACTGACTGCAGTTAGCTTGTTTGCAAACCAGTCTGCCCAGGGTAGAATCGCATGTGCAGCGGGAACCACAGGTCTCATCAGCCCAGAATTCTTCTCCGGGTTTGTAGTAGAGCCCATTGTAGGTGCAGCCACAGCTCCCGACAGGCACACACTTCTCAACGCTGAGGACGTAGCCATCGTTGCACTGGCAGGTTTCCACGCATGGCTGCGTGCAGAAAGAGGGAGCCGTGCGGTCAGAGCAGCTGGCAGGGCAGGAATAGCAAGAATTTAACAACAGATAAAATGGCCTTCAGTTACTGCCCAGAAGCGTCCACTTTGTTTGACAATGGGCGATGCTACAGTAATGTTAAAAGCTGGCATGCAGTGCTGGAAGGCAAAAAGGTGGAAATATTGGGAGTGGGAGAAGCCACAGGATATAGGGATATTTAAATAAGATGTAGCTTACTTTAACCATACAGTCTAGTAGCACAGATGACTAATAATAATAAATTTTATTTATATGCTGCCCTCCCCGGCCATATATTATGCACAGATTGGGATACTTACCACAGGAGCAAAGGGCTGTGGAACCAATGCCAATGAAGGGTGAGACTCCAAAGATCAAGAGTCCAAAAGGAGTACTGGGATGCTCTACAGAGACTGCACTAGCATTTCTGCCCAAACTGAGCTGAGCAAAAGAATACTCTGTTCCAGGAATTGGTCTCCACTCAGTGTTTGTAAGGACTTTCTTCTCTAATCTGATCCCACTGGAAACCGAGGTTTTGGCTATGACCACAGCAAAATTTGCAAACCGTCTTATCCCACCAATGCGATACGATGTGCAGTAGCTGGTGAAGGCTGGAATATTGATGAGGAATGATTCATGCATGATGTTTTGGTTTTTGACACCAGTATAGAAGAAAAGGACCTGGATTCCTGCATTGGCAGTGAAGTAAAGTGGCTGAGAGGGTTGCATTTTGAACTGGATGACTTGCCCAGCCTTTGCCTGACGGGAACCCTGAGTGGTCCCAGAATGGTATTTGATCAAGGTATTTTGGGAAGCAATGACATACACAATGTCAAATTTGGTTAGGAAGCGAGGGGGGTGGGAACTATGAAGTTGGTACCCCAGCTGGTAACAGGCAAGAGCTGCTCAACAACATGGTCGCAAGTTGTGAATTGCATGGCGCAGCTGTGCCCACTCAAAACAGCCACGGACGCAACTGATTCAACCTTGGTGCCTGATAAATCAACTGAGCTTTGCAGCTGGATTGCTTGGAAGGCTTTGAGGTCAACAACAAGCTTGCTTCCTGCAGGATAAACCTTCCCTTGGAATGTCACAGCCCCTTTCAGGTGAATAATGACTCGAGTGGGAGATTTATGGGCTACAACTGCAAATTCTTTGAAATTGTGTGGTGTGTGATTGCCTGCTGGGGTTACCACGTAATACAATGTGCCCAGCTCTTGGACTGGGTACACAACTGTGGCAGCACTTGTGACAGCCTTGTAATTGACAGAAAAGACAGAGACATTTTTATCAGCTTGGATCTGCACAGTCTGATCAAAAACATTGCTCCCCCTCATTTCTGAGGAGGCCGGGACCACAACAGACACGGTCTCTTTCTCATTGACAGAAACCATTTTCTGGAATGTAGACTTGTTCACTGTGACTGTGACAGTGGTGGCAAGTTGATATCCAGTGATAAGCAGCTCAAATGAAACATTGTGCTGGCTTGGCAAGTAGTTCTTCAGGAAGGCTGTGACAAATTCTTTCCCACAGGTACTTGCTCCACAATACCCTGAAAGGCAGATTGAAATGGATAATCAGACAAGTGCAGACATCTCAAAGCTGTGCTCTAAGAAGTTTTGTTTGTGGTCTTGAGAGGCCTGAAGAGAAACTTCACTACCTAGTCCCTCTTGTTCTAAGCAAGCTGAATTGAAAGAGCATCTGGTAAACGTGTTCCCTCCTTTCACTATAAACCTCTGCCATCTTCCCTTATCATGTGTAAACCTAAAAGTAAACAGAAGAGCATCTGACAATTCCTAGAAATAATCCACCAAGATATGATTATCTACATGCCACTCCTTTCTATACCACACAACCCCCATAATTACCCTCAATATATCTTATAGCTCTACAATTCTATGATTCTAAGTTTCAATCGTCTGACACTCTTGCCAGCAGAATTCAAAATAATCTCTTTCCCCCATCGCACTTGGACAACAGAATAAGATTTTTCCAGAAGCTATTTCACAGAAGAAGAAAATGACAAACTTTTCGTGGCTGGCACCATTTAAAAACTTTGAACACTTATTCACTGTCAGGAAGGCAGTATTTATAGTTTTTGTTTCTATGTTAATTTTAAAGCCAAATTTAGCCATAAGATGTGATGCTCTCTCCTTCCTAGTTAGGCATCTTTTGTTTTTGTTTTTTTTTAAATAATTTTTATTAATTTTCCAAACATGTATTAAAAACAAACAATAAAACAGAACAAAACATACAAACAAATAAACATGTATAATTTCATAAACTTATTTTCCTTCACCTTACTTCCCGGACTTCCCCATACCTCCCTTTTTCTGCATCCTTATTTTTACCTTTTCACAGCAACCCTCCATTTAATTAATTAACTCATCTTCATTATAATTTCCTTAAATTTATGATTTACAGCTGCAATTCTCTGTATCTTAACACCATAACATCTCAGCACTCCTCAATATTACAACAATTTTTAAGATATATTTTAAATTTCTTCCAATCTTCTTCCACTGTCTCACTCCCCTGGTCACGGATTCTGCCGGTCATGTCTGCCATTCCCATGTAGTCAATCACCTTCGCTTGCCATTCTTCCAGAGTGGGTAGCTGCTGCGTCTTCCAATACTTTGCTAGTAGAATTCTTGCTGCTGTGGTAGCATACATGAAAAAAAACTCTGTCCTTCCTTGGCACCAATTGGCCCACCATGCCCAGGAGAAAAGCCTCTGGTTTTTTAGAAAATGTCCATTTAAGGACCTTTTTAATTTCATTATAGATCATTTCCCAGTAGGCTTTAATCTTCGGGCAGGTCCACCAAAGGTGATAGAAAGTACCTTCAGTCTCATTACATTTCCAACATTTATTATTGGGCAAATGGTAAATTTTTGCAAGTTTGACTGGGGTCATATACCACCTATAGATCATTTTCATTATGTTTTCTCTCAAGGCATTACAAGCCGTAAACTTAACACCAGTATTCCATAACCTTTCCCAGTCATCAAACATAATGTCATGACCTATGTCTTGTGCCCATTTGATCATAGCTGATTTTACTGTTTCATCTTGTGTATTCCATTTCAGCAGCAAATTATACATTCTTGACAAGTTCTTAGTATTGGGTTCTAACAATTCTGTTTCTAATTTCGACCTCTCCATCTGAAAACCTATTTTCCTGTCCTGTTTAAATACCTCGTTTATCTGAAGGTAATGCAACCAATCTCGTACTTTAGACTTCAATTTGTCATAACTCTGTAATTTAACCCTTTCACCATCTTGCTCTAAGATTTCACAATATTTTGGCCATTTGGACTCCATATTAAGTTTTTTTGTCTCTTTAGCTTCCATTGGTGATAACCACCTGGGAGTTTTACCTTCCAGTAGATCTTTGTATCTTATCCAAACATTGTATAGTGCTTTCCTGACAATATGGTTTTTGAAACCTTTATGTATTTTTACCTTGTCATACCATATATATGCATGCCAACCAAATCTATTGTCATACCCTTCCAGATCCAAAATGTCTGTGTTCTCAAGAAGCAGCCATTGTTTCAACCAGCAGAACGCTGCCGATTCATAATAAAGTCTCGGGTCCGGCAGGGCAAACCCCCCTCTATCTTTTGCATCAGTTAAAATCTTAAAGTTTATTCTGGGCTTTTTGCCCTGCCAGACAAACTTGGATATATCTTTTTGCCACCTCTTGAAACAGTCCATCTTGTCCAAGATCTGGAGTGTCTGGAATAAAAACAACATTCTAGGCAATACATTCATCTTAATGACAGCAATTCGGCCTAACAAGGAAAGTTTCAACCTTGACCATGTTTCTAGATCTTTCTTCACTTCTGTCCAACATTTGTCATAATTGTCTTTAAATAAATTCACATTTTTAGAAGTCAAGTTCACACCCAGGTACTTCACCTTTTTTGTTATTACTAAACCTGTTGCTCTCTCCTTCCTAGTTAGGCATCTTTTGGATGCCAAACAAGCCTCATCTTTCACATCTAGGCATTTTATAATAAACAGCATTTCATATAACTTTATGTCACACATCGGAAAAAACGAGAGTGACATGAATTGGAAACATGGCTGATTAATATTTGGCAAGGAGACTATTGTTTTATTGAAAAAATGAGGTTTTAAAATATGTTGTTGTTTAGTCGTTTAGTCATGTCCAACTCTTTGTGACCCCATGGATCAGAGCACGCCAGGCACTCCTGTCTTCCACTGCCTTCCGCAGCTTGGTCAAACTCATGCTGGTAGCTTCGAGAACACTGTCCAACCATCTCGTCCTCTGTCGTCCCCTTCTCCTTGTGCCCTCCATCTTTCCCAACATCAGGGTCTTTTCCAGGGAGTCTTCTCTTCTCATGAGGTAGCCAAAGTATTGGAGCCTCAGCTTCACGAATGGATAGGTTTGATCTTCTTGCAGTCCATGGGACTCTCAAGAGTCTCCTCCAGCACCATAATTCAAAAGCATCAATTCTTCAGCGATCAGCCTTCTTTATGGTCCAGCTCTCACTTCCATACATCACTACTGGGAAAACCATAGCTTTAACTATTTGGACCATTGTCGGCAAGGTGATGTCTCTGCTTTTTAAGATGCTGTCTAGGTTTGTCATTGCTTTTCTCCCAAGAAGCAGGCGTCTTTTAATTTGGTGACTGCTGTCACCAAAGCGTTCTGGGGCAGGGGGTGTACTTAATTTGCTGGGAACTTCTTAACTTTAACTAGCAAACCTGTGTTTAAAGAGCAGGTTGATATTTACTAAATAATAAAATATAAGGAAGTTGTCATGCTGCTGTTTGTGTATCTACCCACAGGTGGTGCTACAAACTGCAGCATGATGATGGGACAGCAGTGTTGGAGGAGGAGGGAGACAGGGCAAGGAGTCAGGCAGGAGCTCAGTGAGTGAACAAGTGCCCCAGACAAGCAGGTGAGCAAGGTGCCCCAGGTAAGCTGCAGAGCAACAGCCAGACCAGGGCAGCTCCCCAGGAACCGAAGCTGCTGCTGCTGTTCACCTCATACCTGTTTTGACCGCAGCAAATTCAGAGGCCAGGGAAAAGAGAAACAGATGTGGCAATTTGCCCGAGATGAGCCACAGGCTGTGCAATGTCAGCACACCATGCGGTATGTGCAAATGACATCAGCACGCCCCATGGCAGATGTGCATGACATCAGCATGCCCTGCCACATGTTTGTCCTGTGTCACATGCCATAGTGCATGCTGATGTCACGGAGCATGCTGATGTTTGGTGTGGATACATGGAACTTTGAGGGGTCTCAGGCCCTTCGCTGAATTTTGGGGGGGCACTCCTCTTGGCCCCCTTTACTTGGCACTGTTGTTCCTGACCATTGGCAGTGCTGGCTGGGACTGATGGGAGTTGGAGTCCAACAACATTGGACATAGGTTCCCCACCATGGTAGCGACTGGGCATGTGTTAACACGGCCAACAGTCTAAGGTTACCAGACGTCCCCGTTTCCCGGGGACAGTCCCCAGATTTAAAAATCAGTCCCCATATAAAATCCATTGAAGTTGAAAAGTGTCCCCGGATTCATTGGAAAAAAAACTGGTCACCTTCCACTAGGCTCTGTGCCAGATAGCCACAGTCATGGAGTAGATTTTTCAGTCAATGAAAAATGTGCCAGGCTGTGAGTAAGTCCCTGTTCTGTCAGCATCTGCAACTGCCCCACAGAGATATGAGTACAAGAAAAATCTCCCTTGTAGGGTCAACCTGCCAGTTGCTGGTTAGTACCAAACTCACCATATAGGAGCACTAGCCAGTTTCAAAGCAGCAGCAGCCTCTTTGCCATGACTACAAAACAGCAGAAGAAAGTGGTTCAGGTAATCTGCAGATTCCATATAAGTTCCCCCTTCCCCCGGCACTCTGATCATTTGCTCCTTGAACATCTACAACATACCTTCTAGAGCCTGCATGATGACATACAAATTCTGGCTCCCACAGCCCAACAAATTGTAATCATTCTAACTCCATTTCTTTCAAACAGCTACAACTACGGTTATACAAAAAGCTCTTTTGGCTAGTTCAAGATGTTTCACAAGGAATTAATTCCACTTTTTTCTCATCGCTTTACAAAACAAAGTTAGTCAGTTCCCATTGAGATGACAGTTCAGCTCAGGTTCCTTCAAATGATTGTAGTCAAAAAGATATCAGCATTCAGAATGTTAGAAGCTTCTCTGCTAAATTATAAGATATGCTTAAGAGGACTAGTAAAACGTCAACATACACAGTGGAATGTGAACTGATTAATTTATTTTGCTCAACAATTCTGTTCTTTAAACTTAAAGGCCAAAAAACGCCTAAAGCTAAAAGAAAAGAAAAAGCAGGTGTAAGAGAATGAAGGTGCAGACATTTGCCCTTAATTTGTCGTGTTGTGCTATAGAACTCCAAAAGTTGATCACACCTTAACTCATTCTTTGCCAACATGGTGTCCTCTAGATGCTTTGAACTACAGCTGCCATGAGTCCCAGCTGTGGTTGTAGTCCAAAACATCTGGAGGGCACCAGGTTGGCAAAGCTCTCCAGTCACTTCCACTGGCTGTATAGTTTTGAGGTTTGAACTTTTATCTTCCTACCAAGTGGCATGTAAATCTTACAAAATAAATTCCATTTCAAATGGCTCTTCTGCGGGCCAAGGAGCACCAGGCATGCAGGTTGTTAGCCTCTCCCGACATCAAAGCAACACTAACTCAGCAAAGAAAGGAAGTGATCTCACTCACCTACTGAATGCATCTGACTAGTTCAGTATTCACAGGAGCTGGGCTTCTATAGTAGCTTATCCTTTAATGGCTCAGCCAGTGTCCTAAGACGTTATACCTGATAGTTCTAAACAGGAAATCCTGCTAACTGACAGCCCTAGTATGACACTGTGCAAAATCTATAATCCAGCCAATGTAAATAAGGAACTATCTGCTTTCTCCTAGAACTTAGTAAATAAGGAACTACTTTCTTTCTCCAGAACTTCACAAGCATTCAGATTGCCACATAGAACTTTGCAGCTTGCATAGCTATGATGTACAATATGTGTTTTTTATTAGGCAATTTCTTAAAAGGCAAAATTATTAGTAGCAATGGAAAGAGAGCATTTTGTGGTGTAGGTATGACTCGAAGTGAGAGTTAGTCATAAGCATAATCCTGCAGTAGCAGGAGAGGTGATCCTTCAATGTACAGTGGAACCTTGGTTTTCAAACTTAATCTGTTCTGGGAGTCTGTTTGACTCCCAAAACCGATCAAAAACCAAGGCGCGGCTTCTGATTGGCTTCAGGAGCTTCCTGAACTCAAGCGGAAGCTGCATTGGAAGTTTGGCTTCCCAAAAACTTTCACAAATCGGAACACTTACTTCCAGGTTTGCGGTGTTTGGGAGCTGATTTGTTCAGCAACTAAGCCGTTCGGGAACCAAGGTACGACTGTCTATGTAATTAAGGGCTTATCCAGACCCTGGTTGAACCACTTTTCTAGGCACAGGTCTGTACTTTAAAACTCCCTGAAAAGCCCTGGTTAATGACATTTATTGGGAAAGAGATGGTGGGGACTGCTCATTCACCTTGATCTTTCAGCGACTTTTGATACAGTTGACCATTGTATCCTATGGGTGCATCTCCAGGGTTTGGGAGTTGTGGGAACTGTGCTTCAGTGATTCCATTTCTACCTCCAGGGCCGTTTCAAGGAACTAGCTATGGAGATAGAGATGTTCTGCAATGTCCTACATAGTTCCAAGTTCTGGATTCAACACCATCACTGAAGGCTCAGGTGAGCTCAGTGGCTAAGGGTGCCTTTTTCAGCTCTGGCAGATTCGCCAGTTGTGACACTATTTGGACAGAGATGACTACGTCATTGTACTTCCTGCTCTGGTAACTTCTAGGCATTTTTAAATTTTTTTTGAAATGCACTCTACGTGGGGCTGCCCTTGAAGATGACTCAAAAAAACTTCAATTGGTGCAAAAGGCAGCAATCAGATTATTGGCCCATCTCACATAAGCCCTGTTTTAAAACAGCCAGGTCCAATTTCCAGGCCCAATTCAAGGTGCTCACATTCGTGTTTAGGGCTTTAGAAGACTCGGGGCCCAAATACCTAAAAGGCCACCTCCTTCCCTACAGGTGGAGCACACAGGTGCTAAGGTCAGCAGATGGGGCCCTCTGGGTTGTCCCACTGCCCTCAGAAGCTTGGGGTATGGTGACCCAGGAGAGGGCCTTCTCTGGGGCAGCTGCTAAGTTGTGGAACTGTGGTGCAGTTTTAGGGACTGTACATTTCTTTGGAATGAGATGTTGAAACTTTAGACATTGTGGTCCAAGTTGCAGAAATTGTGGTATTCATTGGAAGGGCCTGCTGAAATGCATTATTAGACCAGAGACCCACAGCCAGGAGTTGGATGTTTTGTTCAAATCAGTAAGTGAAATTCAAATGATTTTCCCTCTCATTCCCCAGTACGTGTCCCTATTTAAAGGCAGTCTCTACCTGTGGGTACGGGTACAGGGGAGCCAGGCGCAGTGGGATGAAGGCAGGGGCATAAGAAGGGGGTGCAGGGTGTGTGGTCCACCCCAGGTGTCATCCCCGAGGGGGTAACAAAATGGCACACCACAGGGGGCGGCACTTACCACAGGGCTTGGTCTGCAGCACGCCCGAGCCACACTTCTTTCCTGGGAGTGACACAGTGGCTCAGGGCCCCGCGCTGCCCAAAACTGCAGCATGGGGCTTGCGTCCACCAGGCAGACTCTGTGGGCAGCTCGCCATGGTGCCCCCCTGGGTGGGTCGCCCTGCCCCTGCCGCTCCGCATGCCGAATCAGCTAGCTACGCCCCTGGGTGAAGGCATGATAAAGAGGCTGCAGCACAGGGCAACTAAACGGGATTTCAACAGGTCACAACTTTGTTGATTATAGATGTTAGCAGGCTTTGGCATAGGCATGGGGTGTGTATCCTGAATCGACCAGACCCTCTGGAATCCAGCAACAAATGAGGCCTGGGCTTGTATAACCAGAGAGTGGATCTTGTTTCCTTCTGGTCTTCTTCCAAAACCCTGCCCTCTGGCTCACCTGCTATGAGCTACAACCATGGACAAGCACCAGCAGCCAGCATGCCCAGTAGAGGAGGAAGTGATGTCTTCCCTGGCTGTGGTGAAGTCAAGAGTGTTGGGAATCTGAATACGTGCCGCTTCACACAGAGTTAATTAGGGTTTGGCCGACAGCCAAGGCAATGTAAAGGAGTAAAGTCTGCCTGGTGATACAGAGGCATGGAGACAGCTCCATGATTGGTCAAGCTCTCTCACGGGAGAATAATGATTTATGGCCTACTAACTGGAATGTGTTCAGTCGAGAGTAGGAGTTGGAGGTTGAGAGTTGTGAGTCGTGTAAGAGAGAGCAAGTTAAAGATCCTGTAAATAGTCCACTGTATATAATAAACACCTTTAAGTACAAGTTCCTGGTTCCTGCTTCGTCCATCCTGCCTGCAGCCGATTGCCAATTGCTTTCTTGAACTCTGCGTATACTCTGCTAAGGTGTGGCTAAGGTCCTGCAACAAGTCAGAAAGTTGCGAAACACCAATAAAGAGGCCACCCTGACTTGCTGCGGCCGTGTCGGACTGCAACACCACTCCCTTAGGCAACTTGGGCTAAGCTGTAATTTCTGCTCCTGTTTTTAATTAAGCGAGAGAGCTGCAGCTGTTCCGCCACCAGAGCCTTCATCTGCATCGTCGACCCTCCAAGTGCCCCTATTTTCCAGGGTAGTTCCTGATTTAGAGAAGCCGTCCTGGTTTCTGATTTGATCCTGGAATGTCCCAATTTTCCTTAGGATGTCCCTGTTTTCATTGGAGAGATGCAGAAGGTTATGGAGTTATCGAACCCCTGAGCCAACTGAAGGCAATCCTGTATAGGGAAGGGGGGTTTTCTGTTTGTTTTTTAAAGTTTAATGTTTTATTATGCTTTTATATATGTTGGAAGCTGCCCAGAGTGTCTGGGGCAACCCAGTCAGATGAGAGGGGTATAAACAGTAAATTTATCATTGTGGAATGGGACGTCCCTATTTTCATCACAGAAATGTTAGAGGGTATGGCATTGGCCTCTGCCCACTGAGGAGATGACGGGTGCCCAGTCCGATTCTAAGCCAGCATGGCCACCTCCATGCCTGGGGCATGGAAATGCCAGTGTCGGCATGAACTCAACCCCAACCCCCATGTGGGTTTTCATTTGCTTGCTCAATCCAAAGCTGCCTCCCTGCTAAAGCCCCATTTGCCCCACTCATTTATAACAGGGAATGCAGGGGGCATGTCAGCTGGTGGATCAGCGGCTCTACTCGCATGGCCATGTCCTGCACCTGCTGCACCAGTGCTCCTTGCTTTGTCTGTGCATCCCATGGATATGAGGGATAGTACTGGCTAGCAGGGGGTTGGACTAGATGACCCTTGGTGTCCCTTCCAACTCTACAGTTCTACAATTCTGTAAAGTTTTTAGTAGAAAACGAGATCTGGATCCGAGTCCTTTGTCCATCAAGAATCAGGAAAATTGAAATGAACTAATAGGGATTTCTGCAGTCTAATAGGATTTCCAATACCAGGGTTAACCCTAGGTCATTGCGCTTAAAATAGCATTTCCATTTTAATGAGAAACTACTTATTTCAGCACAGAGCCTCTGCAATTGTTGTTTCTTTTTCCTTTTTAAATATTTGATACTGTTTTAGGGAATAGGTAAAGGAGATGAGGCAGTTTAAGAGAATTCATTCAGGATGTGGTAATGATTTCAGAAAACTGCTGTTATATTAAGAAACTGCAATTTATCATGAAGAGATTAAAGACCAGCAGCCAGGGATTTGGGCGGTTCCTTTAAATTCATACAAACCCCAGCTCCACCAGAATCCTGGTAAGGTGGGACGGGGGTGGGGCAGAAGAATAGATGCCGGTGATTTTTGCTTTTCCCCCACCTCTGCC